CTAAACAAACCAGGGAGTGAGTCAAACGGCTCTGCCCGACCTGTTTCATTACTCTTGCTGTCGTCTGGCCCCGCGGAATGGGGAACAGCACACGTGTCTACAGCTGGTCACAGCCATGGAGCGGATGCAGCAACGGTCACCTGAGTGCTGCTGGTGCGGAAGAGCTCGCTCCTAAACCCCAGTTTATTCTGCTGTTGCTACTACGAGGTCAGGAAATTCACACCGGCAGCCTCCTCGGGGAGGTGTCCTTCCCAAGGTGGCCCTTCGGCTGTCCCCAGCATGGCCATACCTGCACCCACCTCCACTCCAGTGGCTCCCTCCCATCCTGCCAGGACCAGCGCACGGGTCCCATCACCCTTATTCCCACTCACAAGCATCAGCAGTTTCTTACGTAGCTGGCAAGCGAGTGCGGGCTTGGAGACCCATGTGTGCCTGCCTGTGGAAATAGTTGGTGTACAAAAAGAAAAACGCATTTTAACGCAACCTGCCATGGGATTTGCAGCCTTCTCGGAGCACGAGGTGGAAGGAAGGTTGTGCAGCACTTCAGTGCTGACAGCCAGCCTGCACGTCTCAGATACAGGTCTCTCTCCGTGCTGAAGGCAAAATCATGTTTAACGTCATGTTAGCTTATTTTTCCAACGTGATATGTCCCAGTGAGGACGCAGCTCAACTGTTGCAGTGAGCGTTTGTGAAATAATATGGATTTTAGCAGGGACCTGCGAGGTTTTGCTTCCCCTCTTGCTGCCAGCTGGTGCTGCGTGAGTAGGATGGGGCACAGCCACGCAGCCCTCCCGGGGCTTCACGTTTATTTTTCTTAAAGATTGAACAATACCAGGGTGTTTCTGAAGGATGGATGAATCGGATCCAGGATTTGGGAATTTAGTCAGTTTAAACATCGGTTCAAAGTCTCTGCACAACTAGATGGTGGGAGACGACCCTCACGTCTCTGGTAACGGCATGCTGCTTTCTTCCACTGGCTTGAAGATTGATCTGAAAACTGATCTGAACCTCAAGAACAACCAGGGAGAAAATACACCTGGAATGTTAAGTCTAGGAAGCCTCTGAGCACGTTTCTGCTCTCCCTGCACGAAGCAAGAGCTGGTTCTGGCCATAAACACCCAAAGCGGATCGCTGCGGCAGTGGGTAGTGCCTCTTTGCGTCACTGGTGCCTAGCGTCAGCAGGAGGGGGTCAACGTTGGCCGGTTTAGGCACAAAATTGCCCTTACAGGTAGGCCTGGAAGGGCGTTTTTTCATGAAGTGTTATTTCACTGGAAAACATTGACTTGGTAAAACTGTTTCTGACAGTGAAAGTTTAATTTACAACATTTTTCCGTTTCAAAAACACTTGTAGGGGAAATGTTCTGAAATTGTTGAAATGGGATAAAACAGTCTGCTGCCTCACCCCCCCGTGACTTTTTGTTTCCAAATTTACATTGTACTGCTGCTCGTTCTTTATTTTCAACTTCTAACAAAGTTTTGATTCAAAGTATTTTTTAATTTATTTTTCTTGCACCTGTTCTTGATTTGGAACAGGGAAGAATCTTAAGCCTTTTTTAAGGAACAAAAGCAAAGCAATTTCTATGCAGGGAAACATCATTTCTCTCCCAGCCCTACGCATACTTAAACCCTGTTTTTTATACATTAAGACCCTTTTAAACCCCTCGGCCATGTGATTGTGTGGACAAGTGTAAATAGACAGTTGTTGCTATTCCGTAAGTGCGTGTGTGCTGTGGGTAAATCAGGCAGAACTTTGTATTTGTTTGGGGATTTTCATTGCTCCCTGTATTTCTCATGATGAATTGCCCACATACCCTCCTACCTGAGGACTGCTTTGGCTTCTACTGAGCTTTAGGAAAAATCTGCTCTGTCCCATGTTTGTTCTCAATAACAAACCTCTCTGATAGGAGAGAGTATTCCCCGTGCACACCGGTGCTGGGGCACAGATGGGAAATATTGAGGTCAACAGGCAGTGACAAATATTTTTCAGACTGTTGTAGAGCCAATCTCTGCAAATTCTTATGACCGTAGCAGTTGTCTCCTTCCTTGTTGCCCATGACTTAATTATTCCCCTTATATGACCCTGGATTAGTAACTCTGTATGTACGTACATACTTAGTTTATGTGTGTATAAAGACACATATGTATGTTTTTATATAGGTATTTATGTGCGTATATATACCTATGGTTTTTAAATTGTCATTTTCCTATGTCTTCACATGGCCACAGATGTGTGTGTGCTACCTTTGAGATGGGTCCTTTTCCCATCAAGAGCAGCAGCAAAGTCCCCTCTGACTCCTCCTGAGCTGCTGGAAAGGTCTGGCTGGTTTTGTTTCCCCTGCCTGGTAGTGCTCTCTCCTGGCACGGCAGGAAAGCTTATGTGATAAATGATTTACAGATTAAACAGAAATGGTAGCTTATCCCTAAGTTCCCAAGCTGTAAAAATACGTGGAAACAAATGACTGTGACCTGTCATTTCTCATCTGTTTGTATACTGCTGGGGATGATGCCACTGTGACCTGCCAGGTCTTTGGATGCACAAAATAACATCAGTTGATCAGGAAATCTGGGTCATTTGTTTTTAATGAATTTTTATCTTCATCTCCCTCCAGCACAATTGTTCATGGTCTTAAGGAATCTCTTGTTTTTTCCAAATATCTCCATGCCTGTGCAGACTCAGGTACTAGGTGTTTGCTCCCAGCAGCATAGCAGTAACGTATGCTGCAGATCATGGGAAAGCATGGCATGTTTCCCTTTATATAGCAAATCAATCATAGACCATAACCTGTGCATTTGCAGGTTGTTTGATCTTCCTCCTCTTCCTTCTGAAATAAGCCCCCAAGTTAATTTGTTAGAGTTTTAAACACACAAGAATTGTTTTCAACTTTTGTTCGTTACAATAAAAATTTCCAACTGTTTTCATTCTTCCTTTGGAGCTCTCAATCTAATTCTCACTAGACAAAATTATTAGCAGCAAATTCTGGCAAATTTCTCTGAAAAGAGCATGTCTCTTGTGCAATGTGCCCGCATCGAAGAGATGGCCGGGCGGGGGGCAGCCCCTTGGCACACAATTAACATCTTTCTTTATTGTTGGCTTGCAAAATACTTGACTTTCTTCCATAGAAAACAAGTGTCTTGTGGCTTGGCTTTTGAAAAAGAAGTTCAGCAAGCCAGAAAGTTATGTTGTTCTTAGGAGGAGAAAAGATCAGTTCAATAGGTTTAACTTTGTCTTAACGAAGATTTCTCGCGCCCCGTTTGGCCAACAGAGCAGCTGAAGGTTAGCGTAACTCCACTGGTGTGAATGGAGTGTCTCATGTTGCATACACAGACCCCCCATCCGACACCGGTTCCTCTGTTTGAGGGGAAAAAGAGCACTTGCCTGCACATGTTGGGAGAAAACAGTAGCTGAGAAAAGGAAAAAAGCAACGAATTCCAAGGAGATTATAATTGGTACATGATTGAAATCCCATATTAAAATAATTTCCTGACCGCTTCTTATTTGAGACTTAGTTTTGACTTTTCTACAAAAGGGCTTTTGTGGGTAGCTTGGCGTAAGTGAGTTACTAAATCAGGTTTATGATGCTCCGTTAATAAATTGGCATAGAGCCATTGACTTCCGTATGCCTAAGGAATTAAACCAAGGAAAGCGAACTAAGAGCCTGTGTGAATTTTAACGCTAAATAAAATAGGTTTCTGGGCACAGAAGGAGACTGGGAGGTTGTTCCTTATCCATCTGCACCAGCCGGGTGCTGTGTGGAGCTGACCACGTTAAGCAGGCGCTGCCCGTCGTTACTTGCTCTCTGTCCTCATTCTGAGGCTTTTCTTGGGTTTTGTTGTTCAACTTTTAAATATTTTAATTTTTAAACGAATTTAAAAAACCTTGAAAAAGTGTTAGCTTGAAATACACTTTTTGATTTATATTCTTCAATAATATAAGGTGAACCAACCTGATTGTTTTTTCTTCCATTTTAATTTTTCTCTCATTTTTTCTTTTTTTAATCGTGATTAGCTTCTGGGTTTGATCCAACAGGAAATGGAACATGAAGAAGCCCCAAATGAGAGAGCTATAAGCTGCCTCATGAACGGGAGTGAAACATGGATTGCATTAGGTTAGGGGCTCAGCCTTCACCTCTGCGTGGCACCAGCCTGGGCGAGCAGTGGGAAAGCTGCAGAAATCGGTGCAGTGGATGGTGAAGTCCCCTGTGCCGCAGGGGAATGTAGAGGGGTTTATTTTTTTTATCTATTGCCATTAGTCACAGCTTCAGACTGTGGCACTGGCACCCAAAGCCTATTGGAGGTGTGATGGGTTTTTCCCCTGGATCTAAGGCACCGTGTACCAGCCCACCGGCTGCCTCTGAGCACAGCAAAGCCCTCGAGCAGGGGCTGCATGGAGTTGACGCAGGACCACAGGGTTGTGTGACGTGGTTTGAGGTCAGGATGGGATGTGGGACTAAATGACAGTGATGTTTGGGATCTACAGCAGCTGTAGCAATGTCCTTGCCAGGTGTCCCTGGCACCGTGCTGCTCCTTTTGGCTCTTGCAAGTATATCTCCCTCTCCTCTTGCATGACGCAAAGAAAAATAAGCTCCATGGTGAAAATATACTTTTTGCTCGTAGAATTCTATGTCTGTTTGGTTTTTGCTGGCGATGCTCTATGGTTGCACGTGGTGCCCCAGGCCCTGAATGCGGGTGTGATGCCTTGCAACGTGCCCGGGGTCTCGTAGGGGGAGAGGGAACAGAGTCACGCTGGGGAAAAGGTGGGACAAGGGTGGTTTTACACCCTGTAAGCACTGCCACACCAGCAGCATGGGCGAGATGGGTCCCATAATGGGAGGATGTGGATGGCATTAAGCGTATCTGGAAAGCCACTGTGTTGGAATCGAACTGAAAAGTATTGAATCCTTCTGATTTTGGTCCCTGCTATGTTCTGTTTTATCTGATTATACTTGTTACTTGTAATTAAATGACTTTTTTCCTTTTGTTTTTTCTTTTGTTTTCCAGGACCTGCAGTAAGTATCGTGGATTTTACTGTTGGATCAACAAAGTTAAGGCTTCCTCTTCCCCCTTCCCCTGCCTTTCGGTGTCCTTGCAAAAGCACAGCATTTTTTGGTAGAGGTGTGTCTGGAAGCAAAATTGGTACCAGATGCTGCTGTATTTTTTTTTTTCACGATTGTAGACAAATAGAGAGGGGGGAAAAAAAGGTTTTCAAATGTTTAACTTGCTGCCCTGAGGGACTTCCAGTAATTTTAAACTCAGAAAATATTCAGTAAAAAAGAGTTTTCCCTTTAAAGAGTTCTTTAGTCCGCTTCTGTTTAGTAGAAAGAGTGCTATACTAATATTTAATGTTTTACTGGGTTTTTTTAGTTCTAAAACTCTGTCTTGCTTTTCTTATCTATTGTGTTTCCATAATTTAATACGGGTTTAGTAGCCTTACAAGGGGGCTAGAGGGAAAGCTGTAGCTTGCTTGCTTCTCTCTTTGAAGTCTTGGGGAGAATAATGAGCATTCCTGACCTGCCAATGCAACCAGAAAATTTATGGGGACTTTGTTGTTTGAAGGGGTAATAGTTGAAAATGTGTCAACTCCTCCTTCCAAATGTTCAGACGTGCCTTTGGCTGTGCCACCACCATGTTCTAAATCTGATGTTCTCCTGCTGGTTTTGGAGTGAGAAAACAGCGTTTCATTTGTGCCCTCCAAGTTGCTGAGGGATTGTTAAAAAAGAATTTATGGACATTAGGTGCTTCTGGTTTTCTACCTTTCTTCCCCCGGAGGAGGAGGAGGAGAGGTACAGGCTGTTTGCAGCCACATGTCTCCTTCTCCGTCATTGCACGAACAGAGACGTTTCTTCACGTCATTCTCTTCCTATAGAGCCTCACTGAGTTGAAAAGGGATCGTTTCAGGAAAAATTAATTTGCTAACTATTCGTGGGCTAATTAATTTCCAGTTCTGAAAATCAGTTTAAAAGCCAAAAGGTGACAAGGAGGTGCGTATGAAGCATGGGGCACCCATGGTTTTGGTTCTCCTGGGATTGGCAGCGATGCCTGTGGGTTTAGTTGATGGCTTTCAGCCCTTCAAATTTTTGCTTCTATTTCAAGTTCTTTTTTTTTTTTTTTTTTAATGTAAGGACTTAAGAGGGATTTGAAGAAAATTATTATTTGGCCCAGTTTTGAAGGAGCAAATCGAGGAAAATTTAAGACTTAATAGCTTTGGCTTAACTATCCTTACAGGAGATCTGTATGAATTTGCTCTAAAAGTTGTGCAAAGCATGAACAATACATCCAATACTCTGGCTCAAGAAATGCAAACAAACGAATTTTCCTGGTTATTTTTGAGTCCAGAAACATAGTCCGTCAATAAATTCATCTCCCTGTAAATATTCTGTAATTAAAAGCTGCAACGCAGCCTCTCCAACCCACACAATAAAAGTGACTCTGTGGGTTTTCAAAATATTGGTGGCCAG